GGGGGGAGGGGGAGGAGGAAATTGGTGGATGCATCAGAGCAAATCTGGCTGTCGGGTTTTGGAGACTGTCCAGCTTTGGCAAGTCTAGGCCCAGAATTAAACAGCAATGGCTGCGGGGCAGCTGTGTATCCCTATTTGCAGAGAGTGATTACAGAGAGATAGAAGAGAATAATTGTAGCTCAAGGTTATACTGTGGCATCCTTTATGCTGTCTGAGCTTGGCTGTTTTCTTGCAGACATTTCATCACCATACTAGACAACACCATCAATGCTAGAGGAGAATGGGGTTTACTCTCTTTTTGTATGCTAGTGGCTTGCCTTATAAGTGTTAGCGGTGTATTGGTGGTGGTTCCTTGTTTAGTCTGTTGTTTATTGTTAGCTTGTTTGTCTGACTTGGTAGTTCCTTGATTGAGGTATTGCTTACTTCTTGATTATCTAGCACTAACCTTGGTGTTAATCCCTGCTCATCTTGGTGTTGATTTGCTGGTGAGATGTTTTGGTCTTTTTGTTTCCTTTTTTGGATTTCTGATTGTCTCATTGGAATAGTATGTAGATGTTGTTTATCTCTATGTGCCTGTTGATGGCTAATTTGTCTGAGGGCCAGTCTTCCTCTGTGATAATCTTTTGTTTGAAAGCTTGTCAGAGTAATCCTTTGACTGATGGTATCCTTTAAGGGAAGTCTTACAATAGCAAATCCAGTTCTTAAAATTAATTATAAGGAAGGAGAGTAGGAGCTTTGAAGTTGTCCATCTATGGCAGAAGTGGGGAACTATGGCTCTTTTATGACTTGTGGACTTCAGCTCCCAGAATTGAAGTTCACAAGTCATAAAAGGACCATAGTTCCCCACCCTTAATCTTTGGTAAGCATGTGAACACAGGAGGAATCTCAAATCATCCCCCCTCAAAAATTGAAATAACCAGATTTTGGTTGCTTTCCTCAACCAGTTGGATGGAAAGGAATCTTTCAGGGGAGGGATGCCATTCCGGTGTGTGTGTGTGTGTGTGTGTGTGTAAGTGTAAACAATAGAGAAAGAGAACCCCGTAGATGACATTCGTTAAAAGAGGGCACCCACAAGAAGTCTGCCATTCTCAATTTAATCGGGTGGGAACCTATGGTCCCAAAGAGGTATTAGTTGAACAAGAATGGTTGAAGCTTGGTCTATAGTTCCCGGTACCTGAATGCTGATGATGGATAATAGGGGTTGTTATACACCCAAACCTCTAATCAGTGTTTTAATAGGCATACAGGCAGAATCTAAAACACAGCATTTGTTAATGATTTCTTACAACCAAGCTCTGCTTTTTTTACCCCAATCAAAATTTATGCACCAAGCCATTTTGCAGTTAATAGAGTCTTTAATCTTCTCTACAGGGCTTGTTATGTTTGGCCGATATAGGGCTGGATGATCTATTAGAGTAATTGGAGGGAGGAAGATTGACATCTTGGCCCCCAAATGATGGTCTGTGAGGCTCCCTTGATCCCTAGGATGAGCTCATTTGTTTTTCCTATGCCCAAAGCAGGAAACAGGGGGATGGAACTGCCTTTTCTCTTAGAAAGGAAATGTTTTCAAGGATGTCTGAAGGAAGCAGTCCATGTCCTTTCGCTTACCGTGAGAATCACAGCAGGCTGCTGAATGTGGAGCTGTTTCTGACTGATAGAGACTATCAGTCTGATGTCGACTCACTCTCCCAGAGGTCTAGAATCACGCTACATCCAAATTCCTGGGAACAAGCAAACTACTTCCATATTCTCACTTCCTCTAAACTGAGGAAATGGGGTTTTTAAGGGCTACATACATGGCACTTCTGGATGGGAGGTATGCCCACATTTGTGTAGCCCATTGTGGGAATAATCGCAGCTTATTTTGTAAGAGAATAAAACCCATTTCCACTGCCCCAAAGCCACCCATTAGCCAAAAAGGCAAGAGACAACATAGCTAAAGATTGCTAAAAGTGCACTGGTCCAAAATGAAAGAACTGAAAGGCAAAGGAAATTAAAAAGACAAAAAACCCATGCCCATATTTCCCTTCACCCACAAAAGGGATAACTAAACATCATATACAGGTGACACTCGAAAAATTAGAATATCGTGCAAAAGTTCATTTATTTCAGTAATGCAACTTAAAAGGTGAAACTAATATATGAGATAAGACTCATTACATGCAAAACAAGGTAGTTCAAGCCGTGATTTGTTATAATTCTGATGATTATGGCATACAGCTCATGAAAACCCCAAATCCACCATCTCAGAAAATTAGAATATCACATGCAATCAATAAAACAAGGATTGTACATAGAACAATATCAGACCTCTGAAAAGTATAAGCATGCATATGTACTCAGTACTTGTTTCGGCCCCTTTTGCAGCAATTACTGCCTCAATACGGCGTGGCATGGAAGCTATCAGCCTGTGGCACTGCTGAGGTGTTATGGAAGACCAGGATGCTTCAATAGCGGCCTTCAGCTCTTCTGCATTGTTCGGTCTCATGTCTCTCATCTTTCTCTTGGCAATGCCCCATAGATTCTCTATGGGGTTCAGGTCTGGCGAGTTTGCTGGCCAATCAAGCACAGTAATCCAACAGTCATTGAACCAGGTTTTGGTGCTTTTGGCAGTGTGGGCAGCTGGAAAATGAAATCAGCATCCCTATAAATCTCGTCTGTGGAAGGAAGCATGAAGTGCTCCAAAATCTCCTGATAGACGGCTGCATTGACCCTGGTCTTAATGAAGCACAGTGGTCCAAAGTCCTGTTGCTCAGTGGTCCAAAGTCCTCTTTTCTGATGAGAGCAACTTTTGCATCTCATTTGGAAACCAAGGATCCAGAGTATGGAGGAAGAATGGAGAGGCCAATCAAGTGCAGTAATCCCACGGTCATTGAACCAGTTTTTGGTGCTTTTGGCAAAAGTTGCTCTCATCAGAAAAGAGGGTACATATGCATGCTTATACTTTTTAGAGGTCCGATATTATTCTATGTACAATCCTTGTTTTATTGATTGCATGTAATATTCTAATTTTCTGAGATGGTGGATTTGGGGTTTTCATGAGCTGTACACCATAATCATCACAATTATGACAAATCACGGTTTGAAATATCTTGCTTTGCATGTAATGAGTCTTATCTCATATATTAGTTTCACCTTTTAAGTTGCATTACTGAAATAAATGAACTTTTGCATGATATTCTAATTTTTCGAGTTTCACCTGTACACAACAAAGAAAGAAGCCCACAGTTATAGAAAAGATGCTGGGAAAAATTGAGGGCAAAAGAAGAAGGGGACCGCAGAGAATGGGTAGAGGACAGGAAGGCCTGGAGGAATGTTGTCCATGGGGTCGCAATGGGTCGGACACAACTTTGCAACGAACAACATCAAATAGAAAAGAACAAATAGAATTGCCCTCTGGCTATAAAGGACCAGAAGGCAAGACAAGAAAACAATGGATGGAAAGTAACTAAGGAGAGAAGCAACCTAGAACTAAGGAGAAATTTCCTGACAGATAGAACAATTAATCAGTGGAACAACTTGCCTCCAGAAGTTGTGAATGCCGCAACACTGGAAGTCTTTAAGAAGATGTTGGACAGCCATTCATCTGGAATGGTATAGGGTCTCCTACTTGAGCAGAGTCCTAGAGGAGATCAACCCTGACTGCTCTTTAGAAGGCCAGATCCTGAGGATGAAACTCAAGTACTTTGGCCACCTAATGAGAAGGAAGGACTCACCGGGGAAGAACCTAATGCTGGGAATGACTGAGGGCAAAAGAAGAATGGGATAACAGAGATTGAGGTGGCTGGAAGCAGTAGCCGTTAAATGGACTCCAGAGGATGGTAGAGGACAGGAAGGCCTGGAGGAACGTTGTCCATGGGGTCGTGATGGGTCGGACACAACTTTGCAACTAACAGCAACACTTGTCCAGAGGGTCAGACTAGAAGACCTCCAAGGCATCTTTCTGTTATTCTGTTAAATTAGCATGACTCAGGATTTGAGGAGGAAATAACCAAGCCCATTTTAGCCTGACATTTGGATTGTGTCATATGTGGTAAAAATGTTGATGTACGTCCTGCTAAAGAGAAAGAAGGATTACTGATGTTAGAGAATAAATTTCTTCAGCTATAGGGGATTGGGGTGGTAGGAATTTTATGAGGAAATTACAATTGGAGAGACAAAATTTGGATGTTGGTGTCCTTGACTTTTCAAAGCATAATTTATGCCCTTAGTCCCTTATGATTTCATCTTATTTGTAAATGAATGTGGGCTCTAATTAACAACGCTTTCATTTTCACTTGAATTTCATTTAGTGGTTTCCTGCAGAAAATCACAGGATTTCAGAATCAATACACACAGACACAAGTTACTGTTGTGGGACAAATGAATTCTAGTTGTATTTCTTAAATTTCTGCTCTCCTGTAACTCTGATGATGTTTGCACATTTCTTTAGAACATTCACTTTGAAGATGCTGAGAACGTGCTCTTGTTGTTGCTATTGTTGATGTGCCTTTAACAAGGAACAGGTTGCTGGAATTAATCGCCTTATGTCTGATTCATTTTTTCTGATCTTCCCTCCCCTGATTTCTCTCCCTCCTCCATCCCAACCTTGTAGGTGGCAAGTGGTATAAACGACACTTGACTTACCGGCTAATCAACTGGCCTTGGTACCTGCCAGAGCAGCAGGTCCATCAGGCAGTGAAAGCAGCTTTTGAGCTCTGGAGCAACGTCTCTTCCTTGGTTTTTTGGGAAGTAGCAGAAGAGCCTGCAGATATTCGCCTGACGTTCTTCTATGGGGATCACAATGATGGAGTTGAGAATGCCTTTGATGGTCCAGGTGCTGATTTGTTATGTCTTCCCTCATAAGCATCTTTTGGTTATAAGGCCATATTGGTCCAGAGCAGCGATGGGTTTCAAAAATTTTTAGAACTTCTTCTGTAGGTGTGGCAAGCTTTGTGGGAGTGGCTTGCTGGCCATGTGACCAGGTGGCAGTGGCTTGCCAGCCATTTGACTGGGTGGGAGTGGCTTGGCAGTCATGTGACTGGGTGGGCGTGGCCAACTTGTAAAATGTGGTGAAACTCACTTAAGAATGCTCTTGCTTAGCAACCAAAATGTTGGCTCAGAAACTCTGGCATTTGAAGCACGCAAGTCTTAAAGCTGTCAAGTTACAAGACCCTTGTACCCCTAACCTTTAGGGAAAAAAATCCTAGGGGTTCAAACCTGACAGCTTTAAGACTTGTGGACTTCAACTCACAGAATTCCTCCTCTCGCTCTTCATCTTGATGACGTTTGGACGGGTGGGGGGAGGGAGCTGGAACTGGTTCTAAATGGCACTGTAGATTTGTGGAACCTCTTCTATAGAAGAGGTTAGAATTGGCAGGAACCCACCCCTGGTCCAGAGTCTTTTTTTATATATTATTCATAAACATTTTAAATACAGTGTATTGTCAGAACATATGATTTACAAAAAAGCAAAGATTGAACAAAAAGAAATATTAACACATATATTAATAACGATAATAATAGTGTAACATAATAATTTTAATTAGATTTCTCTTTATATTAGCTTATTTGTAATTCTGTTAATTATATTACCATATCTATAATTATAAACCATCTTTATATTTAATTCATACATAGTAATAATCTTTCTTCAGCTAATTTCTACCTCTTATCTCTAACCACTCATAAAGTCTATTCCATGCTAAGTAATATTCTGTGTCCTCTTTGTCTTTTATTTTTAATATCAATCTATCCATTTCTGCAGAGTCTAATATTTTCCAAATTACATCCACATCTAATGGAGTGTTCTCATTTTTCCAATATTGTGTAAATACAGTCCTTGCTGCTGTCAACACATGCAAAATTAAATATATAGTCCCTTTATCATAGCCCTCTGGCATTATACCCAACAAAAATATTTCTGGTTTCAGATCTAGATGCTGCTTGGTCATCTTTTCCAACCAAGTATGTATTTTTGTCCAATATTTTCTTGCTTTCATACAAGTCTACCACATATGATAATAAGTACCTGGAGTCCAATTACACTTCCAACATTTGACGGACATATTGCTAAACATTTTTTTGCCAATCTTGCCGGTGGCATATTGGCCCAGAGTTCTGATTTCATGCATCTTCTGTCATAAGTTTCCTACTGTTTCTGAAGTTACCTCCAAAAGGTCAGGACTTATAAAGAAATATGCAATCAAGAGCCTTGGGCTTAGAGAGAGGCAGAGAGAAAGTTGGTAGGGCAGAAATTAGCTTTACCCATCCTGAAGTTTTTCAAATGTATAGAAAACACCATTTCCTTGATACTGTAATCTGCTTTTGCTCTACACTGTCAAGACATGCTGTAAATAAAATAAATATTGATAGTCAGCCTGGCTGAAGACTTGGGATTCTGATCCTAAATTTGAGGAGCCTCATAGTTTCTGACATTCTTCTACGTGGAATATATGCAACCTTCAAAATGAGTTTCGCACCTGTATGCAGAATTCATCATCATCATCATCTGGCAACTAAGCAATTTAATTTCTCAGAAATTATCTTGGTTTTTAAAAACATTTTCAGTGCTGAAGTCTTGCAAAAGGTCTTTTCCCTGAAGAGTGGTTTTTAAGAACCTGTCTTTCTTCCAGACCTTCAATCAGCTCAAGCAGGTCTTTTAAGGGGAAAGGTGACTTGGTGGGTTTTACTTTCCTCCCCATAGGAATCACTTAGATATTTCCCAATACAATTCAAAAAAGCACACAGTATTAAGTCGGACTATGACAGCAAATTATTTTATGTCTCTTTGGCCTGGAATTAGGATGAAGGCTTTTTGTTTCTCCACTGCAGCCAGGCACTTATTCTTCTGCTCCTAAAATTGGGAAGTTGGCAGCAATAAAGATGATCATAGAAGCAGCATCAGCAGTATGGAATTCTCTGATGGATGGAGTTGACTGACTTTCATAGCTAAATGTAAATAGTGTTCAAATTGATCTGATTTCTTTTTCTCTTTCCTTAGGGGGTGCTCTGGCACATGCCTTCTTCCCACGCCGTGGCGAGGCCCATTTTGACAATGACGAGAGATGGTCCCTGGATGGTGGGAAAGGCCGTAACCTCTTTGTGGTGATGGCACATGAAATTGGACATACGCTGGGACTGGAACACTCCCCCGTGTCTAATGCTCTTATGTCCCCCTACTACAAGAAGCTGGGCAAGGGATTTGTCTTGAACTGGGATGATGTTCTTGCCATTCAGAATTTATATGGTAAATAGAACTTAATTTTTCAAGAGTAAAATATTCTCAACAGTCTGCATGACTGTAGCTTTGGAACCAATTGGAGTGAATAAGACTCTAGGAAGAGCGCAGACAAGAACAAAAAGGATAATTAGGCGACTGTAAGCTAAAACAATGATGAACGGTTGCAGGAATTCGGTATGTAATCTAACGAAGAGAAGGACTAGGGATGAAATGATAGAGTCGTCCTATATTTGAGGGGCTGTCATAGTGAAGATGGGGTCAACCTATTCTCCAAAGCACCTGAGGGCAAGACAAGAAGTTACAGATGAAAGTTTATCAAAGACAGATCCAACCTAAAATTAAGGAAAAAAATCCTTTCAGTGAGAACAATTAATCAGTGGAATGGAGACCAATTAATCAGAAGATATGGGTGTGCCATCACTGGAGGTTTTTAAGAAGAGATTGGACAGCCATTTGTCCAAAATGGCATAGGGTCTTCTGCTCAAGCAGGGGGTTGGACTAGAAGACCTCCAAGGTCTCTTCTAACTCCATTATTCTCTAACTTTGGAGTAGCCCTTTCAGGATGGCTGCTGTTCCAATTGAAATTGCTGTTGCAATTTCACTTTCTGCTTTACAAATGTTACCTTTCCATCCAACCACCCAATATTCAGAGATGTGTGACTCTTATATAAGGCTGTGCTACCTGGTCATTATGCTTATGACACTGGGAAGTTAGGAAATTTTAGGTATCAACATTTTTAATTACACCATGCCATTCTTCAAAGAGCCACAAAAAGCTTGTGATTTTTCCTTTTCCACCTGTGCCTCCTTTTATTTATGCCATAAGAAAATGACTGGCCCCAAATTACTCTATTACCCTGTCTGCAGCTCTTGCTCATTCTCCCAAGATCATTCTCACATACTAACATATTACAGCCATTGACTGATCTTACAGTAGAACTTTTGTCTTACAAGAATTCTGATAACCACCAGATGGCAGCAAAAAGACCTTTCTCTTATTTCCCAGTTTGGGAGCTCTACATTGAAGGATCTGGTTGCTTATCCCACTAAGTGGAATGGTAATGTCAAGAGCTGTTTTGATGGCAAAGCAGCTACTTGGGATTTTTCAAAGTTTAAATTTGTTTTGGAAGGGTTGCCACATTTATCTTAAAAGTAGAAAACAAACCTAAGTCAGAAAAAGAAAATGAATGTCAATATATTTTATTTAAGGCATCCAAATAAGCCTGCTTCCATAATATATTCATAATATGTTTAAATAGCTGTGGTGGCACAGTGGTTATAATGCAGTATTGCAGCATAACTCACTGCTCACTGCCAGGAGTTCAATTCAGACCCGGCTCAAGGTTGACTCAGACTTCCATCCTTCTTTTTTAAAAAAAAAAAAAACACAGACAAACATAAAACATAAAACCATCTTCCAGTTTGGTACAGTGTGTCGATTGGTTACAAAACCTTTGTGCATCCTCACCATAGTCTTCACTTACAATTTATATAGAATCTCGTATTATCAATCTGATATATATGTATACAATTATTATCATTGTTAAACATTTATTTGACTATAACTATTGTTACTTCATTTTATGTGAGATATTCTAAATTTTGAATAAATTTATATTATGGCATTTCATTACATCATCCTAAATCCATCTAGTAGTAATACATCTTTATAAAGTTCTCTAGCATATTTCACTTCCATATTTTTTGTCTAACCATTGATAAGTCCCATGTTTTATAAAATGCAGTATTGCAGCATAACTCACTGCTCACTGCCAGGAGTTCAGTTCAGACCCAGCTCAAGGTTGACTCAGCCTTCCATCCTTCTGAGGTCAGTAAAACAAGGACCCAGATTGTTGGAGGCAATATACTGACTCTGTAAACTGCTTAGAAAGGACTGTAAAGCACTATGAAGAAGTATATAAGTCTAAGTGTTATTGCTAGTGCTAAACTGCTGAATTAGGGTGTTGTTTTTTATGAGAGGCAAGATTTCACTGTTTCCCCGAAAATAAGATCCAACCAGAAAATAAGCCCTAGCATGATTTTTCAGGATGTTTGTAATTTAAGCCCTACTTCCAAAATAAGCCCCAGTTAAGATTGTCAACCAGATGGACAAATTTAATACTGCATTTTCCCCAAAATAAGCCCTAATGCATCTTTTGGAGCAAAAATTAATATAAGACCTTGTCTTATTTTCGAGAACAACATGGGTAGCTAAATTTTTCAGTATATATAGTCTATATAAAGATGTTGATTGAACTCTCCTGCTCAGTTAACACCAACAATACATACAGATTTTGGTTTGAGCTTTTGATTGTTACCTTTTCTTTTGAACAGGAAAACCATCCCGAGGCCCAATAGTCCAGCTTCCAGGAAAATCATTTGCTCGTTTCCAGAATGGGAAGCAGTACCTTGAAAACAGAGAGCAGAATCAAGAGACAAATTTCAAGTTCCATTACTGCATGTCATTTTTTGATGCCTTAACTGTAGGTAAGAATGAATTGACTTGGGTATTGTAGCACAGTTTCTCTAGAGAGATTTGCTGCGAATGCCACATAGGCGTCAGGAAGGGGTATCCGGCCAGTAAACACTCAGCTGTATTGACTCCACCTTAATGCAAAGGATTACAGGGTCATTAAAAGAAAAAATATATAGCAATAGTTAAACAAATTTCATGATCATTGTTTGCTATGGGCAGTTTTTGCAGAAAAAACTTTTGCAGATGTATACGCCAGTTTTGGGCTAATACTTCATCAATTGCAATTATATGACCATGGGACACTGCAAATGTCTGTCAATGCAGGTTGGATGCCAAGCACCCAAAATACAGTCATATGACGGCTAGGGGAGACTAAGCAGTTAGAACTTCAAAAACTAGCCTGGTTGTAAATACATTGTAACTGGATCCATTGTAACTTCAACCAGTCGTTAAGTGAGTGGTCATAAGTCAAGGGCTACTTGGGCACAGTCACATATGCTCTCATTATCTTGCAGCTGGACTACTGTAATTAGCTCTACAAGGGCCTATCCTTGAAGGCTATTTTGATGTTTCAGCTGGTACAGCATGCAATTGCCCAAGTAGTTATGGGGACATTGAAATTTGTCCATGTAACACCACTGTTTTAGGAGCTGTGCTAGTTACCAGTCAACTTTCAGGTGCAATTCAAGTTGTAAGTTATCTAAAGCCAGAGTCTGTATAACTTGGGACTTACGGCTCTGCCTTTTGCAGACTGAATCTGATCATGAGATCCAGACAGAAAACTTACAAAGGCTTCCTTCTTTGAAGAATAGAATAGAGTAGAGTAGAGTAGCGTAGCGTAGCATAGCATTCAATTCTTCATTGGCCAAGTGTGATTGGACACACAAGGAATTTGTCTTTGGTGCATATGTCCTCAGTGTACATAAAAGAAAAGATACATTCGTCATGAATCATAAAGTACAACACTTAATGATAGTCATAGGGTACAAATAAGCAATCAGGAAACAATACCAATATAAATCGTAAGAATACAAGCAACAAAGTTACAGTCCTGTAGTTATAAGTGGGAGGAGATGGGTGATAGGAACAATGAGAAGATTAATAGTAATAGTAATGCAGAATGTCACTTACAGGGACTCTGGGGAGGTAGGGGCTTTTCAGTGATGAACCCCAGGTATGGGACTGCTTATTCCTAGTTATCTGACCCCCTCTTCCACCTTTCTGGTTTTCTAAAGGACTTTATAAAAATTTGAGCCGTTAGGGGAAAATTTGGAGATATGGAGGCTTACCCAGCCCCTGTGAGCAATTCTATCACAGCAAGTTAGTAGAAGCATTTTACCTATTAGATGCAGTTTGAATTTTTATGTGCTATCAGCCTCTCCGAATCCACAGCAATGGACAACATAGAAGCCCAGTAAAAGCATAAGTGATTTTTTACACTTCTCCTGAGCCGTTTTATAGTTTTTCCAGGTGAAAAGGCTGCTATGCTCTTAATACTGTACTATTGAACACTAACATTGTTATTATGGAACAATAGTTCTTTAGTGAAGTTTTAATGGATTTTATTTATTCAAACATTTGGTTTTATCTTTCTTCTCGCAGTTGAGTTTCTGAGGGGAGGGGTTAAATTGAAAACCTCCTATTATCTAGTCAGCTGGGGGGGAGGGAATATAAACCTGAATTTCTTCAGCTATGGTTCAATGTTGATTAGGTTTTGCTATAATCTTGATTTCATTATAATTATAATTTTGTTGTGTCTTTATTATTATGTTATTGTTACTTACCTTGAATGCTATTCTAGGGAGATATGGCAAGTTGTACATTTAAATAAAATAATAATAAACTATAGCAGAATTCTAATCAATGCACATGTGTATCGATCAACAGCAGCAGTGGGATTTACTTACCTTCGCTAGCGGTTTGCAAATGTGAGTGCTTGCACAGTCACACATGCGCATTTGCATGGGCGCATTTGCGCATGCACACCACCTGTGCATGCACAGTGCTCACGCATTATGTTGGTGCTGCCGGTTCGCCCAAAGTAGAGAGAACCGTCTGAATACCACCTCTGATCAATAGATCAATAATTATTATGTTTGATTAAAATATTCAAGGCATTTACATTTTATTTTATATAGATATGGAAGACAATCTGTACATCTTTAAAGACAAGTATTACTGGATGGTATCCAAAGGTGAATCCGCTGCTGGTCCATACCTCCTCCAAGCCAAATGGCCAGGTCTTCCTTCTGCCATTGATGCTACAGCCTTCTCCGAGAAGGACAGGAAATTCTACTTTTTTAAAGGTAGTTTCATTTGATTGTGGATAACAAATTAAATCTTATTTCAGCTGCATCGTTGCCCAGAAGCTATAGATAAAATATAATCTTTTACCCTCCACCTTTCCATTTACAATTTGGCTGTAAAAATTACAGCACGCCTTTTCAAATTGTCCTCAGAGTTGCTGAGATACACTGCTTGCAATATTTCAAAAGCCATTCTCTATCAATGGAGAAACTGCCTGCAAAAGTTGATGGGGTTAGCAGAGATGGCTAAATTGACTGCTTTGACCACCCCCACCCCCCAAAAAAAACCCCACACTACAACCCACCATAAGTACTTTTGTTTCTACTTGGAAACCACTTCTGGTTTCCACCACTTCCACCTTTGTGAGGTGGAAAAAAACGAAACTTTGATTTTTGGTTTTACCGATTAGATAGATCTGTTGTTATAGAAATGGCTACTTTTATACTATTATATAAAAGTAAAAAGTTGAAGTTGGATGTTAGTATCTTATTATATTGCACCAAAGGGAGTCAGAAGTCAATGCTTTTTCTTTCTTTTTCCCTTTTTTTCTGCAGTCCTCCCTTCCCCTTTTTCCTTGCCTGTTTTTCCTACTATTTGTTTCTATATTTTTGTATTTTATATTATAAAGAAATAAAAAAATGCAACAGCAACAACAAACAGGCAGAAACTTTTTTATAGGTCTTCCTCCCTGTGACCTGCTTTTATTCTCCAGTTAGAAAAAAAAAACCACATAAGCATTGGTGCCATCTGCTGGTTCTCTGTGAAAAACATGCTTGCCTATTCTACTTTAATTCTGTCTCCGATTTAAATTAGTTCTCAGCTTAGCTGTGATGACCCATTTTTCAGGGTTGAAATGCTGCCAGGAATAATTATATTGTTGGAACACTATTCCATTGTTGCCTACAGAGAAAATTGCTGCATTAATATTAAGATTTACCCACATGTAGAATATGGGCCTTGCCACAGCTATCACTCAATCATGAAGGGCAGCCCTTGCAGCTCATTTCAATAAAGGTAACAATCCCCTTGCACTTAAAAAAAAATAAGTTGGAAGAGATATTAGGAACTTGTGAAGAGTCCAGCCAGGCCTCTCTCTCTCATTCCAGCTTTCTGTGTAATCTCTTGACTAGCCAGGTGCATTTAGGAAGGTGAGAACGCTCATGTTACAGGTAGTCAGGGGTGAGATTCAGCTGGTTCGGACTGGTTTGGGTGAACCGGATGTTAATTTTAATCTGGTTTGCCAAGCCAATAGCTACAAGGACGGGCTGGCTCTGCCTCTCTTACCCTGACCCTCCCAGGAGTCTCCACGTGGCCTTCATCATGCCAGGTAAGTGCAGGGCCTGCACAGAGGCTCTGGGAGGACGAAAAATGGGCCTACCGGAAGTCCGAAAATGGGTCTGTTTCTGGCTTCCGGAGGGTCTTCAGAGCCCAGGGAGGCCATTTTCACCCTTCTGGAGGCTCGAGAAAAGCCTCTGGAACCTGGGGAAGGTGAAAACGTCCCCTCCCCTGCTATGGTGCAGGAAGCCGACTAGGCCACACCCCCATGGTCACGCCCACCCAGCAACCGGGCAGAGAACTGATTGCTAAAAATTTTCAATCCCATCCCTGCAGGTAGTGCTCAATTTATGAGCCGTCACTTAGTGACACTTCAAAATTGTGATGGACCTCCCCAGAGCGAGTTATGACCCAGTTTCAAAGTTCTGACAGCGGCCTCCCCTCATGGTCATTTAATCACATTTTGGGTGCTTGGCAACTGGCCCGCATTGCTGTTTGCAATGACCCATTTTCATGTGATTGTGATTTGGAGCTCTTTTGGCCGAAAACCAACTTGTACTTCTGGTTTCCTGCAAAAATAAAAATGCCCACTGGGTAGAACAGGTTTGTTTAACAATTGTGGCATTTGCTTAATGACTGCTGCAAGAAAGGCAAGAAAGCCGCGGGCGCAGCCACATGGCGACCCCCTTAATGACTGCCACAATTGATGGAATTACAGTCATAATTCCAGGCTCAGTTATAGAAGTAAGCCAGGAGTCTCTTTACTGGTTTAAGGCATCTCTGGCTCACACGTCAGTGTACATCCATTAGCATAAGTCATTGCTTTATTACTTGTGACAATTATAGCAACAGCAATAGCATTTAGACTTATATACAACCCCTTAGTGCTTTACAATGGGGAGTTTACAATATCAGCATATCATTACCCCCAATAATCTGAATCCCCATTTTACTGAGCTCGGAAAGATGGAAAGCTGAGTCAACCTTGAGCTGGTGAGACTTGAACTACCGAAATGCTGGCAATTGGCAGTCAGCAGGATTGAACTACAGGCTGTGGGCAGAATTAGCCTGGAACGTGGCATTCTAACCACTGCACCACCAGGACTCCTTGCACTTTAATGCAAGCAATCATGAAAATTCTCTATCAAATTATACAATGAAATACTTAGGAACCTCAGTCTGTAAACAATGTACTAGCCCTTATTGCACAGTCAATGAAAGTGGGCCAGCCTTGCTTGCTGTAATTGCAGATGCCAGAGGGTTGGAACTGATTTAGGGTTTTTGGTGCTGGGCTGTGGAACAGCAAAAAAAGTAGCTATAGAATGCCTTTCAAGTATTATCTCTTCAGAGAAGGAGAAAGCAAGGGGCAGCCAGGAGATCTTTGTTTCCGCAGCAGGATTTAGATGGCAGTGGCTCTTGCTTGGATGTGGCTCTCTCCCAGCTTAGACCTTAAGAGTCAATGGGAGTGACATCCAGGTAGCGGCCCCTGTAAAAGAAACTTGAAATCATGAATCCTGTTTTGCAGTTCTGGATATTCTGAACATCTCTGTGAAAACAAGAGAAGGAATTGGGGATCTATCTGGATACTATTAACAGGGACACGGTGGTTCAGTGGTTGAGCTTGTCACTCAGAAAAGTTGGCAGTTTGGCGGTTCGAATCCCTAGCGTTGTGTAACAGAGTGAGCTCCCGTTACTAGTCCCAGCTTCTGCCAACCTATCAGTTCAAAATCATATAAAAATGCAAATAGAAAAATAGGAACCACCTTTGGTAGGAAGGTAGCAGCGTTCCATGTCCCTTCGGTGTTTAGTCATGCCAGCTACCCGACTATGGAGATGTCTTTGGACAGCGCTGGCTCTTCGGCTTTGAAACAGAGATGAGCACAGTCCCCTAGAGTTGGGAACGACTAGTACATATGTGTGAGGGGAACCAGAGGTGGGTAGTGGTGGGAGGCTCTGCCCACCTGCCCGGATGCTTCTGCGCATGCACAGAAGCGTTGCACGAGCGCACACGCATGAGCAAGCCAGTAGAAAAATAAATTGAAACCCACCACTGAGGGTTACCTTTACCTTTACCTGGATACTTTGCAGCTGCTGCTCTGGTTTATTCTCCTGACATACTGTATATCCCACAAGGAATCTAACACGCCAAGCAAGTTATATACCAGGCATGATATATAAATAATGAGCTGTGTCCTTTAGGGTGTGTACTTGCTCTTGAGTCTTTTTGGGTCCCAGCAGAGTCTCTTTGTGGAATTGAGAGGAAGGAAGGAAGGAAGGAAGGAAGGAAGGAAGGAAGGAAGGAAGGAAGGAAGGAAGGAAGGAAGGAAGGAAG